CCCAGCCGTGTCTCGGCGTGACGATAGCGTGCCCCATCCCCGGGTGTGGGGTCTGCAAGAGCCCCGAGGAGCGGGCACGGCCCCCACCCGGCCTTCCCGGGGCTGGGCCCCAGGGGCCGGGATCTATTCCCTACCCAGGCAGCCGGGCTCTTTCTGGCCCCGCTCAAAAATCATAAACCGTACCATTCTTTATTTTAAACTCAATATATTTTCCACCTCTCCTCAGACTAACAACAGCTTTCTTTTCTGTGATTTCTGTTCTCAGAGATGATTTTGGAAAAACACACCTGTAATTTTTTTACTAAATCACTTCAATGTATGATGCAGATTCGATGACATCGGTTTCCTTTAACAGCCCCGCTTTCTAATCTGAAGAGGATACTAATTCTAGACAGACAGCAAAGGGGCCTTCGCATCACTTACCAAACGCGTTGGATATCGAGTTACATATTCTTGGCATCTAGGTCAGGTTATCCCTGTGCTTTTCGTTATGGCTCGGACTCTTTTACGCAGTTATACAATAGAGCAGTTCCCCGTAAGAAGCTCCCGTTACAACGAGCTAGTGTGACACTTTCAAGCTATTAACCTACATAAGCATTCAAACATCCCCAGTTAGAAGCAAGCCTGCAGAGGAATAACCTGAAGAAAGCTTTATTAGTCAAGAATTCAGTTAATAAAATGCAGAAATTAAATACCATGATTTCTGGCTGTTCCAAAATGACAAATAAGCATAGCACTTCATGTGGGTGTCCACCTTATTTCTTTGAGGTTTATAGATGCTTCCTCGTGATAGCTGACAACGTGCAAAGTGTACTTTTGCAGACACATAATGTTAATAAAACAGGGTTTTAATCCTAGCTTGAAGATGTACTTCGTATTCTCTTTTTTTGCCAGTAGAGAGTGTTGGGTTTATTTTACACATATTCCAGTATCTGCAGTCTAGATATTATATGAAATGCAAGTTTGGGGCAATTTTTTCTTGGCCAAGGAAGCAACTGTATGGCCATAAACAGCATATGTAAAAATACAGACACAGCTTCTATCTTCACCTGCAGAAGATTTCCTCCCACATTCACCTACCTCACTGGAAGGCGCACAATGGTTTAAGCCATAGCTGGTGTGAACTACAGCAGGAGCTGCCATCAAAGATTATGCTGCTGTGTCAGTACCTGTCTGGCCAAACACTGACCAACAGTCACCAAATGGACTTCTCCTGCACTCCTGTGCTTCAGAAAGACAGTGATACAGAGCAAGCTACCCAAACCTGACGTGTTGTTTTGGAGCACAGCTGCTAGATAAGGAAAAGCAAGGTGTGCCTACCTGGGAGACCTGTGCAGCACAGAGGGCACCAAGGCAAGAAAGAGGAAAGCACTCCGATACCAGGGTTTAGGCAAGACTGGGGGAGAACGCCGTCTCTCCTACTTGTATCAGAGTTGTACCTGTGCTCAGACCTGAGGTGGGAAAAGTAAAAACCCCCCCCCCCACAAAAAAAAAAAAAAAAAAAACCAAAAACCAACAACAAAACAAGAATTATATAATCTTTTAATTGCATTGTCATTTTGCTGTACACTCTTCAAACAGAAATATCACTTGAAAGACACCCAGTTCCCTTATTTTGCTGCACTGTACGTGTTATGCAAATAAGAGCTGGGGTGGCGTACAAACCAAAAGGTGGCTCGGGCTTTTCAAATAATTGGTTGAAAGAAGCAGAAATGTAAAACATAGTTGAGAAGTTGCAGCCACAGAAGAGCTTTGCAAATGACTGGTTAAATATGAAACACAGATGCAAAGGGGGGAGGAAGAGGGACAACAAGTTTCCAGTTTAAGGCTGAAGTA